TTAGAAGCATCGCTGCAAGCTATCTGACCTAGATTATTAACCCACACTGATTTTGGCAGACAAGAAGATCTCTTGATGATCTTCCCATGGCTGAACCAGAATCTTATTTTGTACTTCCCATGTGCCTTAATTTTTCAATTAATTTTTTTTAAGATTTTACTTATTTATTCATGAGAGACACACAGAGAGAGGCAGAGACACAGGCAGAGGGAGAAGCAGGCTCCATGCAGGGAGCCTGACGTGGGACTCGATCCCCAGGACTCCAGGATCACACTCTGGGTTGAAGGCAAGCGCTAAACCACTGAGCCACCCAGGAATCCCCTAATTTTTCAATTTAAACCAAAGTAGGGACTTCCATATATTCCTGTTAAATGTTATCTTTATCTTTTAGCATAGAATTCAAGTTATTAGTATAATTTTGTTTCCTGGTTCTCTCTTCAGAACAGAATTTTGGCTATGATTACCCAACTTCGAGTTTACCTAGTTAGAATTACATCAAGCCATTATTTTGGAGTCTCATCTACACAACTATCATGAAAGACTGGATTAAATGCTTTCCTGAAGTTAATTTCTATCATGACTATACAATCCCCATTTTAACCCAAAAATCAAATAAAAAATACATTTAACTATGAGCTCTGGAGTTTTGCTTTTCTGTTCTAGAGCTTTTAGTGTCTATCTTTAAAGCAGTTTCTGAAAGCAGGTGATCTATTGTCTCTTTTCATTTTTTTACAGCTTCTCTGAACTTACCAGTTGTGCATCTTAGGTTACCTATAAACAGCTGTGGGATGTAATTTGTGCCTGGAAACATGAACTTATTTGAAACAGATAGGTGCTTGATCATTATCCCCTCACCTCTCTCGAGTTTCAGTTCTCTGTTTCACTTTTACCTCCTTAAAGTCCATTTTCCTTACTGAAGAAAAAACACACAGATCAAGTCAAATCTTCTTTTTTAGCCTTTACATTATTCTCTTAGGTAAATAAATCATTTCTGTGTTTATAAAGACCTCCACAGGCTTGTATCTCTGCACCCTCTCTTATACTGCATGCTAGTTAAGCCTATCTTCCCACCTTTTCCCTTGAAGATAGCAGGTAACTCCAAGCCCTCAATGTTTTCTCGTCAGCACTTTATAGTTTGCGGTGCAACAAGTATCACTTTCCATTCGATGCTCTTTAATTATTTATTTTGTTGTCTCTCAGGATAATTGTTGATTTTTTTTAAAGATTTTATTTATTTATTCATGAGAGACACAGAGAGAGGCAGAGAGGTAGGCAGAGGGAGAAGCAGGCTTCCCGTAGGGACTCGATGTGGGACTCGATCCCAGGACCCCGGATCATGCCCTGAGCCAAGGGCAGAAGCTCAACCACTGAGCCACCCAGGTGTCCCTAATTGTTGATTTCTTTTTTTTTTTTTAATTTTTTTTTATTTTTATTTATTTATGATAGTCACACACACACACAGAGAGGCAGAGACACAGGCAGAGGGAGAAGCAGGCTCCATGCACCGGAAGCCCGACGTGGGATTCGATCCCGGATCTCCAGGATCGCGCCCTGGGCCAAAGGCAGGCGCTAAACCACTGCGCCACCCAGGGATCCCCTAATTGTTGATTTCTTTACCTTTATTTTTAAACCGGCAAAGCTGGGGTTCTTGCTAAGCAAGAATACCAGGCACTGGATACATACTGTGGGTTGGTTGAGTTTTTTAAATATCAAATTTGGCTAGGTATTCTTTACATATTAATCTCCTTGACTAATTTTCCTGTAATAAAACTAAAACTATCATAAACAAATTGAAACTACCTCTATTTTTTTTAAAAGATTATTTATTTATTTACTTGAGAGAGAGCAGAGAGAGCATGTGAGTTGCGTGGGGGACCAGAGGGAGAGGAAGAAGCAGACTCTCCACCGAGCAGGGAGCCCGATGTAGGGCTCCATCCCAGGACTCTGAGATCATGACCTGAACAGAAGGCAGATGCACAACTCATTGAACCACCCAAGTGCCCCTAAAACTACCTTTCAAAGTCGTTTTCATCTCCAACCTTCCACTGGTCATTAATTCATCATTTCCCTAAGCTATTTAATAACAATCTGAGCCACATTTGAGATGGTAGTTTGGAATTCTATTGCTGAAGACGCCAAGATTGTCTTTCTACGTTGTCACTCAAGGCTGTGTTTCTTTATTTGTCTGGCCTTATTCTAGAAAAAGATTCTAATTTGAAACTCTTCTAAATTATACCTAACTTAAACCCTGAATTTAGAAACCACATCCCTTCTCTTGGCACTTTCTTTTTAACTTGGAGAAATGGTAAATGTTTAAAAACAAGAAATTACAAAGAGGGCTTAATAGTAACAATTTAAAACTGGTATATCTCATTTTCAGTGTATTGATGATCATGTAAGATAATGTCCTAATGTGACATCAGGAAAAAGGTAGCAAGCGTAAGTTTCTTTTTCTACATTAAATACTGTCAAAATTCTGATCACCATTTATTTTGTTCAGCTAAGGCAACTTGTTTAAGTCTCAGTCTATGACTTCTATGATCTATGTATTCCCCTATGATTTATCTGTCTAAAAATCTATTAATGAGATATGGGGATTCGAGTTGCCGTCATGACAACCAAGCAGTTTGGCTTGTTTGCTATTTCCTAGATACAGAGGCTCAGAAAGGAACATCTTCCCTGCAGCTGCTTTAGTACTGGGACCTGGTAACTATGGAAATTTAGATTGAGATTTATGTGGCTAAATTGTTTAAAAGGTACACAAAAACTGATAAATAGCTGGCTCAGAAGCACAGTGAAATATGTTATGGCCAATATATTTTTCCGTAACAGTCTTTTTATTTAACTGTCTTAGTGTTCTCTCTATATAATTCCCCAAACCATATCATATAGTTTTATGATCCATCCTATAAGAAGAATTTAGTATCTTCTCTTCCTTGTGTTAGGTAGATTTTGCTGAGTGAGTGGTGATATCTTGTGGGGATAATACTGACAATAATATTTGCATACTCTTGTATGTGTGCTTTCTCATCCTTAGTTATCAACAACATGTACCACACAGTATGATGCAGAAGATCTGGAAATTCAAACTGATAATAGGAAAAAAAACTCTTGATCCTAGAGATTTGCAGTTTAATTGAAGAGACTGTACCTAAGTAAAATGATGTGAACAAGACGAGAACATGTGTGCAGTTGCAATGAAAGGGGGATCATTCTGTTGGGGGGAGGGGACGAGTTTCAGAGAACTGGGTTTTGGTCTTGAAACGAGTAGAAGCACCAGCAGACAGAATGAATAACGGAGAATCTTATAAGAAATAAGCTTAGGAAGCAAATGCCTTGCATAGTCCTAGAAAAGATTGAGGAGACTTCTTGAAATCAGAGCAGGTTGAGGCCAATAGTGAGAAGTACAACTGCAGCACTGTGAGGTGATTATGTGTTTCAGTTACACATTTTTACCAAGTTTATTTATCTTTGACCTCCATCCATGTACTTGCCCACAAATCCTAGGCCATTGGGAATTCATTCTTTTGAATTTGTAACATGTCCTAGATATTTCCAAAGAGAAAGAATACATGGTTGGATAGTTTTTATTACCTCCCTGCTTCAGTTTTCCTGCATAGTTTCTAGGACATTCTATTTCCCCCTCGCTGCACATCCACTGCCAGATTTTAATCATTACGGATTCTGCTAAACCTCTTTGAATTTCTCACTTAATCCATATTCGGTAGGATAAATAAAACCCGATACCTTGATTTTTCTTTTCTTTTCTTTCTTTTTTTTTTTTTTGTAGAATTTAGCAGTGACAGTTGGAGAGATTTGGTTTAGATTTGAGAAGCAGAAAAACAAAGATATGTAAAAATACATGATGTACACAGGGTTAACGGAATTTTTTAAAAAAGTCTTTAAACAGTTACATTCCCCAAAGTAAAGAACTGTGCAGGAAATGTGACCATACAGACATCTGGAGAGGAAAATCTGTAACGCTAACTTTGAGCTTTTCTTTCCTTTATAATAACTTCTGGCTACCATTTAGGTCACTTTGGGCAATAAAATCCAAAACATCGGTTTATATTTTTAGCAAAAATAAGTGCGGTTTAGAATCTGCCACAGATGCCTGTGTGTCAGGCCATTTGGAAAATTCAGGGTCCGCCGCCACATTCCCAGGCTCTCCTGGGGACACTTCAGAAACTAAAAGCATCCTCAGCATCCAGATGTCTCAGGTCGGTGTCTGATGCGGGAGCGAGGTAGCAGGTGGGGGAGAATGAGGACGCTGCAACCCAGGCGCTGCAGGGGCAGCGGAGAGAATCTAAATGCAGTCCTGGGAGAGGACCGCTCAAAGCCCGGCCAACGGGCAAGAAAGGGTTCCTAAAAGTAGGCGCCACGGGAGAGGCGGGCCAAGGTCACACGCTAGGAGGCCGCAGCATTTGGACTCAAACCCGAGCCCCTGACTTCAGGCCGGTGGTTTTTGCCTGTGCCTCCGGGGAGAGCATGCCGAGGTCTCCGCGGGCCATGCGGATGCCCGGCTCCAGGGCCTGGCTGGGGTACAAGCACCCCGGCTCTGCGGCTGGGCACGCGCTGGGGGGGGGGGGGGCGTTGGGCCGGCCTCAGCGCGCCCCCGCTCGCCCCGCCCCCTCGGAGCCCCGCCCCTCGGAGCCCCGCCCCCAGGAGCGCCGCCCTCGCGGGCGCGTGGGCCCCTCAGCCTGCGCCGGGCGCGGGCGTCCGCAGCGCCCCGCCCCCTCGGAGCCCCGCCCCCTGGAGCCCCGCCCCCAGATGCGCCGGCTTCGCAGTCGCGTGGGCCCCTCAGTCTGCGCCGGGCGCGAGCTCATGCCCAGCGCCCCGCCCCCTCGGAGCCCCGCCCCCTCGGAGCCCCGCCCCCTCGGAGCCCCGCCCCCTCGGAGCCCCGCCCCCAGGTGCGTGCAGCAGCGGCGGAGCGCGGCCCCGGTCGCTGCGCGCTCCCCGGGCTGGCGCTGCGGCTCTGGGGCGCCCCGGGCCGGCCGACGGGGGCGCGCACGCGCGGGGCCGCGCCCTCTCACACACACACACAGACACACACGCACACTCTCGGGTCGCCGAGCTCCGTCACCCGCGCGGAGCGTCTCCCCAGGCGGAGCGCGTCCCGGCCTGACCGCGCTGCGGCTCGGCCCTGAGGTGATCCCGGAGCGGGGCGGGGGTTGGAGGGCAGCGGCGCCGCCCCTGCGGGCGGGGGGGCGGAGGCGCGGCCGGCGACGGGGAGGGCGCCGAGGGGGCGGCGGGGCGGGGGTCGCGCGCGGGCGGCCTCGCGGGGCGGGCGGGGCTGTGCGAGGACGTTTCCGTCCGGGCGCCCCCCGCCGTCGCCCCCCCCCCCCCCGAGCTCGGGTCACTGCCCGGGGCGCTCTTCCCTGCGTGTGAGGAGACTTTGGGTGACAGGAGGGCGCGCGGGTCTCGCCACACACGGTCTGAGGGGAAATGCCCCGATTCCTCAAACGCGGGGGAGAGCTGGGGCGTGAAACAGATTAGCGCGTCCCCGAGAGCGGGTCCGGCAGCGGCGAGCCGGGTCCGGGGTCCGGGGTCCGGGGTCCGGGTTGGAGGCGCCGGCAGCTCCGGGGCGGGGGGGGGCTGCTGTGCTCCGAGCTAACGTGTCGTGTTTGTTCCTGAGAGACGCCGGCGGACGTGGAAGCGGCTCCCGGGGCGCGTGTGGCGCGGGCCTCGTCCCGGCCGCGGGGTCACGCCCTGAGCCCCCGCCCCCCAAGTGCCCTAACGTGCGCCTTCTGGAACAAATGAAGCCTGAAAGGATGTAGGTGGACACGTGCATCTGGGGAGGACGTTCCCAAGGGCCGGGCGGGGAGGGGGGAGGTGCTGCCCCCCCCCCCCGCCCACCCCCCGACTCTGAGCCGGGCGCCCAGGTACCTCACCTGATCCTGACGCTGCCACCCGTGAGCTCGGGCGCAGGTGGAAAATGGGTCACGGAGAGGCTGAGGCACCCACGAGGGTCTCAACTAACAAAAAGGCGGGATGGGGATTCCAGCCCAGGGATGCCTGACTGACTCTCCATTCTGCTGCTGGCTTTACCCGCAGCCGTATTTTTTTTTTTTTTTAAGATTTTTCTTTATTCATGAGAGACACTGAGAGCGAGGAGAGAGGCAGAGACACAGGCAGAGGGAGAAGCAGGCTCCCTGCAGGGAGCCCCATGTGGGACTCGATCCCAGGTCCTGGGATCACGCCCTGGGCCGAAGGCAGATAGAGCCTCAACCGCTGAGCCCGCCCGCCCCCAGGGCTTCTCTCCGCTGCTGCCGCATTTTGTGTCTGCCCAGGGGAGCGTTAGAAGGGGCATCTTCAGAGAACATAGGCAGTTCAGGCTCCTGGGGTTGTTTGGGTTGAGATCAAACTGAAAAAGGCAGTAATCCCTGACTATGTGCTTGTTGGAGTCTGTTTCCCTTTAAACGGGGTTTGGGATAAGGAATTCTTAACAGTCAGGGTCAGAGCAGCTTTATTCACATTTTACGTGCTTGTCTGAATGTCTCTTGGATTCCAGATACTGTGTGGGAAGAGTACCAAGAAGAATACAGTTTTGATGATCTCTGCCCGTGGGTTAGTGGAGAGGATGATCATATAAAATAATTTTGTTCATAGTCTACTACATCATAATCTTTGCCAGCACCCGAATTAATTCGATTAAAATGGTGATAAGCTCAAGCTTTTAGGAACCTATTCTATGTAAGAAAAGGGATGGGATGCCTGGTTATGTGGGTACCATTGCACTGTTTTCCCATTCAACAACAACAAAATGGTCCTAAAATTCAGGTTAAATCATGTTGACTTTTTTTTTTTATTATTATTATTGCATTATTTCAGTAGATTTTAAAACATAGGAAGAGAGTATTTATGACTTACCCTGTTAAGCTAAATTTTAAAGGGCTTTTATTACTTAAGAAACTGGCGATGTAATTTGGCAGGACTTTCTTTCAAGTCATCAGCCAAATATATTCTTTTTTTAAAAAATATATTTTTTAAAGATGTTATTTATTTATTCATGAGAGACACAGAGAGAGAGAGAGAGGCAGAGACACAGGCAGAGGGAGAAGCAGGCTCCTCGCAGGGAGCCCAGGGTGGGACTCAGTCCCGGGAGCCCGGGATCACAGCCTGAGCCGAAGGCAGACACTCAACCGCTGAGCCACCCAGGTCCCAGCCAAATATATTCTTAACCTCTTCTTCCAAAAAATAAACTTTAAGTACCAGTTTTTGTTGAAAGCTTTTATGTTCAGATTTTTAGCAAAAACGGTCATCAGGTTACCCAGATGGTATATTGTTAAAATATTAGGCATAATTGTAGGTAGAGAGATAAGAAGGATAGTGGGACATTTGGAAATTTCTTCTGATTGCTTCAGTTTTTTCAGTGAAGTAGGAATCAAAGGTTTTCATTTGAGTGTGCTGTTGCTGGTAGCAGTGGGTCGAGGTTTGGGGATTGGGAGAATGAATGGACGAATGAACTATATGATAGCCAGGCAATTAAACAATTATTCTTAGGGTATGAAAAACAAGGTAGAGGAAATAAAGGGTGCTGTATATAGGTGCACAAAGTAAAGTGTCTAATCAAATTTTGCCTACTAGATATTTTACAACCCATCTCCAGTGCCTGTCTTTACAGTGTCATCTAGAACATACATCTGCCCCCTTTGCCCCAGTTCACTTTGCCCATGCCTCAGCCCCTTTTAGGATTCTAGCTTTCCCATTCTTTTCTCTCTGCCTGAAATTTCCATTCCATTTTTTCTCCAGTTGAACTTTAACTACATTATATTAAATTTTATCTATCTGCAAAGTCATCGTCTATTTTTTCCCCATTATGTTGGATGTATAAATTTCTTAGTGAATGTTAAAATGAATGTGCCACTTTTCTTCCTTCTCCCTCCTTTAATCTATAACGGGGCTCAGCAAACTTTCTGTAAAGAGCCAGGTAGCAAATATTTTAGGTTTTGTGGACCATATGGTCTCTGTATCAATTAACTCTGCCATTGTAGCACAAAAGCAGTCATGGACAATACAGCCCTGAGTGAGCACAGCTATGTTCGAATAGCACTTTATTTATATCATGAAATTTGAATTTTATGTAATTTTTACATGTCACAAATAGTCTTTGATGCCCCTTTTCCATAGCCATTTAATAATGTGAAAAACACTTTTAACTCACGGGCTGTACAAAACAGGCTCCACCCTGGACTTTGCTCCTACCTCCTTCATGGTAGTTGGCAGACCTTTCTTCTATAAGGACTCTAAGGAAAAAAAAATATATATATATATATATATATATATACACATGGACTCTTAGCAAACTCTGGTGAAGGAATTTGCAGTAAGAGGATATTGGTTATATTACCATTGGTGGTGGAGAAGCAAAGATAAAGCAATCTTTTTGGTTAAGGATCTCATGGTGAAGTCCAAGATTAAGATGTAAAATAATGATGAAGACACAGTATGAAAACTGCAGTTATTTATTGGATATGGATGTGATATCCATAAGAAAGTAGTGATAATCATCTCTGCTTGGAGGACTAGGAGTAACCTCTGACACTTATCTGTTAGAGATAGGGAACATTTTCAGTAAAGAGCCTTTCCAAAAATCTGAGAAGCTTGCTAAAAAGGTGACAGACCACATCTCTTACCAGGATGACTCAGTTTCTTTATTTTATAGGATATAATCTTGATTCATTTCTCTCAGAAGTAAAACTAATACATTTCAAATAATTTCTAACTATTTCTAACAGTCATGAACATTTTTTATTGCTTTGAGAAGGGTAGAATATATTTCACAGTGGGTATAATGTAATCAATATTTTTAAAATAAACTAATGAATATTTGATATTGAATACTGGATTATATCACTTTTAGTCTTTAAGTCAATTATCAATACCTTAGAAAAGAGAGATGGGCTTTAGTTGGCTTTGAATTTTCTTTCAATTTATAGATTGAGTATGTATTGTTTTTATCTAGGCAAGTTAAATATTTGATTAAACCTTTAGTGATACTGGATGTTTAAAACTTACCTAATTATTATTTAAAAGCTCTGCAAGGGGCAGCCCCAGTGACACCACTGGCAGCCCAAGGCATGATCTTAGAGTCCTGGGATCAAGTCCCACATCAGGCTCCCTGCATGGAGCCTGTTTCTCCCTCTGCCTGTGTCTCTGCCTCTGTCTCTCCTTGTGTGTCTATCATGAATAAATAAAATAAAATCTTTAAAAAAAATAAATAAAAGCTCCAACCTTAATGCATTCCCCAGGTATGCTATGGAGCAACGGAAAGTAACTTTTAACTTTTAAAATGTTTAAATATAATTGTATACTCTTATTTCTGTGTTGTAGTCACTGTTTTTAGTAGTGAAGAATTGGCTTTGTTAGACAGTGTTAAAGATACTAGACTGTTAAGTCTTTGTCTTGGAACTATATCAGGTATTATGTTTTCCAAAACATGTGATTTGTTAAAAACATGCCAGTGGAAGTTTTATTGTATTTCAGTTGTTAGCTTGTGCTTTCAAGGATCGTCTTCTAGTATATGCTGCAAAAGAGAAAGTCCTATGTGTTGTCTACTCACAAAGCTCCTTTTGATGTTATGTGGTCCTCTCCACCATTTCCAGCTCTGTCATGGCTTTCATGAACTCCATCACTAGTGAGTGAACTCTTAGGTGTTTGTGTTATCCTGTTCCCACTTACTGTGTCAAATGTGGGGCTGGCTAAACATCCTTTCTTGCCTTTTCCTTTTATTCTTTTGAGTGCCTTTATAGAGCTATAAAGTTTGAGATAATTAATGAGAATTATAGTGCAAAAGTAGACATTTAGGGCAGCCCTGGTGGCTTAGCGGTTTAGTGCTGCCTTCAGCCCAGGGCGTGATCCTGGAGCCCCGGGATCGAGTCCCACCATCAGGCTCCCTGCATGGAGCCTGCTTCTCCCTCTGCCTGTGTCTCTGCCTCTCTCTCTCTCTGTCTCTCTGTCTCTCATGAATAAGTACAATCTTAAAAAAAAAAAAAAAAAAAAGAAGACATTTTGAGCCTTCTGCTAAATAGGGCTTTTCTTATGGCTCAAGAGAAGGCACCTGATAAGTTAACTCTTCACAGATCTCCCCTTGCTGGCCACACCTCATTTCTAACTTTGCAGCCTTGTTTTCAGTTGCACGTTTCTGT